TGAAAAACAATACACGGGGCTCGACGGCGATTATAGGCCCCGAAATGCCGCAAAAAAGAGCCCCGAAATGCCCAAAAGAGCCGAGCCCCCGGAAAATTATTGCATCAGAGTTCAATGCCAAACCAAATTCTAAGGAGCTGCTATTTTTCATGCACGCGGAGCTTTTGGAAAAAGTAGCCCCCGAAATTTTTTTTTCAATTTTTCCCTGCATGCACGTGTGGATAATCTACACGGATTTTTCATCGGCCAGATCGCGTTGATGCAAGCTGCTAGTGCGCGGTTCGGCGGGATGCCGGAACCTGCTTCGTGTGCCGGCGAGTCAGGCCACACGCTGTCTTGCGCGCGTCCCGGAGAGATGCATGAGAGGGTGATGACACCCCTAGTTTCACTCTACCTCAGCTGGTAAGCACAGCAACCCGCGGAGCGAGATTGAAACCACATGGCATCATCCGTGTCGAGGGAATACGCACGACATATGTCTTGTCGATGTTCTTTGTGGAAACGGCCACCTGTAGTTTCAGAGGGGGTAGGTTCGTGGTCTGCGGAGAGAGATCTCTTTTGTGCTGTACACGTGGCTATTTGTTCGCTGTTCCTTGTCGCCGCATTTACCAGCAAAGAAGAATGACTCCCACTAAACGGTGGGAGGGGGGGGGGGGACCTTGATGCTGCCTCAGGCTCGCGGCTGCATCCTCAAAGCGCGTGCGTTTTTACATTTTTCCTGGTTGCCGGAATAACGCCCACGCCTGTCCCGCCAGTGCGCCAAGAAAAGTCGCGCCCTACTTGTGCGAAACCAAATACGCCCCATCTTTCATCGGTACTTGGGTCGATTTATCCAGTTACGTTTATAGGCATCTCGGACGTTACTGCGGACACACGTCCGTTTGCATCTGGTTCCGTCCCCCCCCCCCCCCTGTTCACACTTAACGGTAACGTTTGGTCCATTGCCGTGCCGCGTCTTAGCGTCCGCATTGTCGTCGCTGCCTCGGTGCAACTTCACGTCGCACATTTCCCCGTTGTTGTCGCTTGCCGTCGGACGAAGGTACGGCACGACATCTTGGTTGCATAGGAGACCTTTGGGTGCTGACGACGGCAAGCTGCCCGCTACATCTTCAGCAGCCAAGTCCTACTTGCTCAAGGTTTTCGATCATGGACGCGATCCTTGCTAGGAATGTCGTCGCGTTCTACCTGCCTCTTGATGTCAGGTGGAGCGGAAGGTGTTTCTCAAGTAGGCGCAGGGCTGTTATCGGAGGTGTTTCTTAAGGTAGGCACAGGTGGAGGGAGGTGTTTCTTAAGCGTAGGCCACAGGTGTGGGGAGCACTAAGCGTGTTTCTTAGGTAAGGCACCAGGTGGAGGAGGTGTTTTTCTCAACGGTAGGCACAGGTGGAAGAGGTGTTTCTTAAGGTAGGCAACAGCGTGGAAGGAGGATGTTTCTTAGGTTAGCGCACAGGCTAGAGGTAGGTGTTTCTTAAGAGTAGGCCACAGGTGGAGGAGGTGGTTTTCTTAGGTCGGCACAGGTAGGGGGGTGTTTTTAAGGTTAGGCACAGGTAGAAGGAGGTGTTCTCTAGGTAATGCACATTCTTTAGAGGGGGAGATGTTTTCTAGGTAGGCAATGTACAGAGGTATTGGTCCATGTGAGAAGAGCAGCGATGTTTTTTAACAGTTTAATAAGGTTTATACAACGTAATTTTCTCTTTTTTGCTCTTCTTTTCTTGCCTCTCTGCTCTTTTCTCTCTCCCTCCCTCCCTTATTCCCTTTTCTCTGCCCCCCTCTCTCTATCTCTCAGCTCTCTCTTCACTCTCTTTCTCTCTCTCTTTCTTTCACTTTTCTCTCTCTCTCTCTCTCTTTCTCTTCTCTCTCTCTCTCTCTCTCTTCTCTCTCTCTCTCTCTCTCTTTTCTGTCTGTCATGTCTGTTTCTGTCTATATCTCGTCTTTCCTCTCTTCTCTTCTCGGACTTACTCTTTTTCTCTTTTTCTTCTCTCTTCTTCTTGCAACCCTTACTTTCTCTCACATCGCTCGACTCTCTCTCCCCTTCTCCGTAACTTCCTGACTCACTGTTAGCCTATGATGCTGTCCGTACTTGCCAGACTGCTCTCGACCACGTTGCTGACGTTGTGCGGGGAGCCACAGTAAGCTGAAGCATTACGGACGTGTCGGCAGCATGGCTACCTGATCACCGCGCGCGCTGCTCGTCTGCTTGTGCTCACCTGCGCGGCAGGAGCAATGCCCGAGCAGAAAACAAGAAGGTGAGAGGTGGCACGCAACTCGCACTCATGCTCCGTCTCACACTATGCCACCCGGTCTGTTCTGCTTCTGGTGTTTGCATCTTGATTCATTTCGTGTGTTGATTTTGTTTCATCGCTGTAGTGAATTTTTCTGTAGTCGTTACATTGTTATGTGTGCTCCCTTCAAATGCGTTTATGTTGTATCAACTGCCATGCGTTTTTGTTCACTGATGGTTTTTGGCGTTGATTACATTGTTTTTGTGGTGATGTTCATTCTGACCTATCCTGGAAATTTTATTAATGAATGAATGAATTAATTAATTGGATCCGGATCACCACCAAAATCTCATCAATTCTAAGTTAGCCCATTTCTGACGTATCCTGAAAATTTTATGACAATCCGTCCATAACTTTTTCAGTTAGGCTTAACCTGTATGATACAGGCGGTTCTGGCGCGGCGGCGGGCCAATCAGCCAATCAGCGAGCGTACACAAACCCACAAACCAACACTCAAACACACGCCGGTGAAAACATAACCTCCGCCAATCCCCTGGCGGAGGTAAACAGAGAGAAAAGAGTAGTAAGGCAGAGCAAAAGCAAGAGTGACATCGCAAAAAAACACTCGACTTGTCGTGTGCCACTGAATGCGGGGTATCAACGCAGCGCTCACCTTGCTAAATCGGCGCGTCTTCCTCTCTAATCGCTGCTCGATGAGAGCCCTCCAGTTCTCGGTGGTGGGCCCAGGGCTGAGAGGGACCGCCTCACTGCTGGAGGAGGAGATCACCCTACTCTGACCTTCCCCAGAGGCGCCGGCTGCGAGCGGCGGGCTGCCGGGTTGAGACAGCTCCTGGGCGGCAGCAGCTAAAACCTGCGTCGGAAAACAATTTGCTCAAGTGTTGTAGCAGTGCAGCTAAAGCCCGAAAGGGATCGCGCAATGAAGAGAGACGCTCATCTTTCCAAATGTTCGAACCTCTGTCACGATTGAAGCGAGCGTACATCCTGCACGTCTGTGTATAACGTTTACGCACGCCCCCTATCCCCAGTTGAAACTAATCGTGGAGGAACATCCCATGTGAACTAGTGATCATGATTCCATATTGCTCCCCCCCCCCAGTTTAAATTAATCATAGTAACATACCATGTGAACTATTGATTTCTCGTTCTCCATGACCCACAACCAGTCCAGTTTTAACTAATCAAAGAGTAACATCCTACAAACTAGTGATTTTATGTTTTCCATCCACCTATCACCCCAATTTTAATTAATCGTGAAGTAACAACATATGAACTAGTGATTCCATATTGCCCCCCCCCCAACCAAGTTTAAATTAATCATGGTAACATCCCATGAGAACTAGTGATTTCACGGCGTACATGCCCCCTACCCTCAATTTGAAATAATTGTAGAGTAACAGCCTTCAAACTATTGATTCCATATTGAGCCAATCCGACATATTATACGACCTCGGGCACGACGGGTTGGGAAGCACGCTCATTCCCGCAGGCGACCGCACCTCTCCCTCCCTCCTCTCACCTCCAGTACGTCCATGCGCTGCCTGAGGTTGTAGTTCCGCTCGTAGAACTGTCGCGTGAGGTAGTCAGCGACACGCTTCGGGAATCGCACCGCCGTTGCCACCAGGGCGCGTCGCCGGTGCACGACGAAGCCGGGCAAATCGTACTCGTCGTTCAGGTGCAGCAGCACCTTCGTGAGCTCAACCGCCACCTGGTGGAGAGGAGACGCAGACTATGCGATCACTGTCGAATCGCCGCCATGGCAACCGCGCGCCAACAACGCCCGAAGCGTCTTTGACGTCAAAAAACCGCATCGCAATAATGTCGCGCATTAAAATAAACATTTAAATTATTAACATTTAAAATAAGTGCGCTCAAATTTTTTAATCTAGAGGATCATCTAACAAAAGATCATCTAGATTATGACCACAGAGGAGGAGCGATTTGTTATGACATGCCGCTCACACAGCGAGCCCGCAAACAGATAAAATTAAAAAATATAAGATATAAATAGTAAAAGGATATTAGTAAAAGATTTTTGCTGCACTATGGCGCCACCTACCTGTGGGTCGATGAACTCCCGCTCGTTCCTGACAAGTTGTTCGGCGGTCTGCAGGCAGATCGCTGTTCGATCCGGTTGTTCGGTGGCTATCAGCCCATCCAGGCAGTCGCGGATGTAAGCGGGAGGTTTGATCCGGCTCGACTGTTTGTCATGTGACATGTCAAACGGTTCAAGGTCATCGTCACTGCAACGAGACATTTGACAGTTCGGCACTTGCTAACAATTATGACGTTCGTTAATTAATTAGCCGACTACATTGCAGCAGTCGCTGTATTTTTTTAAAGCATTTTTTTTACCGAACATCAATAGTATGATTGCCGATGTTTGTCGGAACAGTTCACAATTGCCAGGTTCTTAGCGTTTTTTTAATAAAGAAAGGGGAGCTTTTACTTTAAGCACCTGTCTATATCTGCGCTAGCTGGCTTCTCACGCGCGTTGACACCAGCTTCCTGTGTGATGGCTTCTTTCTTGTCAGACTTCCCAGCTGCCTTTGGCAGCTGCCGCACGCTCTCTTTATCTTCGCTACCATTGTCGTCTTCTCCATTTTCTTTATCATCACTCTCCGTTTCTATCCTTTCCTCCATTTTATCAAGGCTATCTGTTCTGTCACTGCTACCCATTCTACCAATTCGTCCCCTCGTATCACTGCTACCCTTACTATCTCTGCTCTCCCTTCTCTCGCTGCTCTCCCTTCTCTCGCTGCTCTCCCTTCTCCCATTCTACCTATTATATCGCTGCGTCCCTTCGTCTCCCACTGTCTACTCAAACTATCTCTGCTCTCGCGTCCTTCTCCTCGCTGCTCTTCGTTCTTCGTCACTGCTACCTCTTACTATCTCTGCTGTCCCTTCTCTCCCACTGGCACTCAAACTACTCTGCTCTTCCTTCTCATCGCTGCTCTCGCTTCTTCTTCACTGCTACCTTACTGAAATCTCTGCTCTCCCTTCTCTTCGCTGCTCCCTTCTCCATCATTGCTACCGCTTAAATATCACTGCTACCATTAATATCACTGGCTGTCCTTTCTCGACACTGCTACTCAACTATCTCTGCTCTGCGCGCTTCTATTGCCGCTCTGTAACCTGTTCTTTCGTCACTGCCCTTCGCACGACGCGTAATTCTTCTGTCTTGGCTTCCGCTTTCTAGATTTTGACCAGCCAGTCACTTTTTATTTCTTAGCGGTCAGGGATCGGTTGGGAGAATCGCCAGGGACAATCAGTCCGCTTCACCTCATACTCCTCTTTGTACTGAAAGGCAATGATCAAAGCACGAACTGCTGGTAAATTTCTTCTCGCTCGCACTGTGCGAATTCGAAATTTCATGACGGGCCTTCGCGACATGGACAAATCTGCTCCATTTGACAGCTCAAGAGGAAGCGGTAGTGGCAACTCAGAAGCATATTAGCACTTCCAGCTTTCATGACACCTGCAAAAAGACTAGTAGGAATTCAAAGAGTAGGGCATCACCTCAAACTTGAGCTCTTTGTCCGCTGAAGTTTAGTCGTGCGGCACTGAAGTCTCAGCAGACGATCATGCCGCTGACGCTGCAGACGCCCGGTAGGGGCCTCCTCCAGAATGGTGTCTGCACCGCCGTGAGCACTTGCAACCATCCACTCTGGCTAAGAACACAAAGTGGCGACAACGTTGGATCGTATGGCCCCAAGCTGTGAGTGTGGAGCGGTATCAACGTCGAATTGTTTCTTTCCGATTTTGTGTGCCGACGTTACCGTCATCATAATAAATATGAAGGATAAGGGGCAGGCGACACACATGAACCATTTGAACATCACCACAAAAACAATGTAATCAACGCCAAAAACCATCAGTGAACAAAAACGCATGGCAGTTGATACAACATAAACGCATTTGAAGGGAGCACACATAACAATGTAACGACTACAGAAAAATTCACTACAGCGATGAAACAAAATCAACACACGAAATGAATCAAGATGCAAACACCAGAAGCAGAACAGACCGGGTGGCATAGTGTGAGACGGAGCATGAGTGCGAGTTGCGTGCCACCTCTCACCTTCTTGTTTTCTGCTCGGGCATTGCTCCTGCCGCGCAGGTGAGCACAAGCAGACGAGCAGCGCGCGCGGTGATCAGGTAGCCATGCTGCCGACACGTCCGTAATGCTTCAGCTTACTGTGGCTCCCCGCACAACGTCAGCAACGTGGTCGAGAGCAGTCTGGCAAGTACGGACAGCATCATAGGCTAACAGTGAGTCAGGAAGTTACGGAGAAGGGGAGAGAGAGTCGAGCGATGTGAGAGAAAGTAAGGGTTGCAAGAAGAAGAGAGAAGAAAAAGAGAAAAAGAGTAAGTCCGAGAAGAGAAGAGAGGAAAGACGAGATATAGACAGAAACAGACATGACAGACAGAAAAGAGAGAGAGAGAGAGAGAGAAGAGAGAGAGAGAGAGAGAGAAGAGAAAGAGAGAGAGAGAGAGAGAAAGTGAAAGAAAGAGAGAGAGAAAGAGAGTGAAGAGAGAGCGAGAGAGAGAGAGGGGGGGCAGAGAAAGGGAAGAAGGGAGGGAGGGAGAGAGAAAGAGCAGAGAGCAAGAAAGAAAGCAAAAAAGAGAAAATACGTGTATAAACTATTAAACTGTTAAAAAACATCGCTGCTCTTCTCACATGGACCTATACCTCTGTACATTGCCTACCTTGAAAACATCTCCCCCTCTAAAGAATGTGCATTACCTAGAGAACACCTCCTTCTACCTGTGCCTAACCTTAAAAACACCCCCCTACCTGTGCCGACCTAAGAAAACCACCTCCTCCACCTGTGGCCTACTCTTAAGAAACACCTACCTCTAGCCTGTGCGCTAACCTAAGAAACATCCTCCTTCCACGCTGTTGCCTACCTTAAGAAACACCTCCCTCCACCTGTGCCTACCTTAAGAAACACCTCCTTCCACCTGTGCCTACCTTAAGAAACACCTCCCTCTACCTGTGCCTACCTTAAGAAACACCTCCTTCCACCTGTGCCTACCTTAAGAAACACCTCCATACCCCTGCGCCTACCTTGAGAAACACCTCCCTCCACCTGACATCAGCAGCCAGGTAACCGACGACATTCCTCAGGATCGCGTCCTGATCGAAAACCTTGAGCAGTAGGAACTTGCTGCTGAAGATGTAGCGCAGCTTGCCGTTCGTCAGCACCAGGTCTCCTAGCAACCAAGATGTCGTGCCGTACCTGTCGTCGACGGCAACGACAACAAAGATGTGCGACGTGAGTGGCACCGGCAGCGACGACAATATGGACGCAAGACGCGCACGACAATCGACAACACCGTTAGTGGTGACATGGAACCAGAGCAACGGACGTGTGTCGCAGTATGTCCGAGATGCAATAAACATAACTGAATAATCGACCCAGAGTACCGATGAGGATGGGGCGTATTTGGTTTCGCACAAGTAGGGCCGACTTTTCTTGTCGCACGCGGACAGGCGTAGGCGTTATTCCGCAACCAGGAAAAAATATAAAACGCACGCCTTTGAGTATGCAGCCCGAGTTTAGTGAGTCATTCTTCTTTGCTGGTAAATGGCGCGCACGCGACAAATGCCACGTGTACAGCACAAGAAGATCTCTCTCGCTTATCTACCCACGAACCTACCCCCTCGAAACTACAGGTGGCGTTTCCACAAAGAACATCGACAAGGACATATCTCGTGCGTATTCCTCGACACGGTCGAGCATGTGCTCACTCTCGCTCCGCGGTTGCCGTGCTTACCAGCTGAGGTAGGTGACTAGGGGTGTCATCACGCTCTCCATGCATCTCTCCGGGACGCGCGCAAACAGCGTGTGGCTGACTCGCCGGCACACGAAGCAGGTCCGGCATCCGGCCTCGAAACCGCGCACTAGCAGCTTCATCACGCGATCTGCCGATGAAAATCCGTGTAGATTATCCACACGTGCATGCAGGAGAAAAATTGAAAAAAAATTTTCGGGGGCTACTTTTCAAGCTCGCGTGCATGAAAATAGCACTCTAAAATTTGGTTTGCATTGAACTCTATGCAAATTTCCGGGGGCTCTTTTTGGCATTTCCGGGGCTCTTTTTGGCATTTCGGGGGCTAAATCGCCTCGAGCCCCCGTGTATTTTTTTCACTGCGTGCATGCCTCCGTGAGGCATAAATAAGGATGGATGTGACTGACAGCAAGCCAGAAGAAATGTCTTTGCCCCTCTTATAGGCTTTCCTGCAATTATTGAATGGGAATTTAAGCATGTATAGTCCGATGTTTCTTTATAATGGTTGTATCGTAGTTTTGTATCGAAATCATAGTTTAGGTTTTTAAAATATTACAGTCATCTTTGCCCCCATGAACAATCTATCATGGGCATAACTAGCATCAGACAGCAAAGACCGTAGGTTCATTACATCACGATTGAAATGGCTTATGTATATATCTTAATCAAAAGAGAGAATGAAACCTGCTAGGCACATCAGCGGCTGATTCAGTAGCACCCACCTCCATTTCCAGAGAGACAGAGTCGACCTAACAGTTTGCTGAGGAAATTCAGACAACAATCCTCCTGTCTGCGCGCGCACTCGGTCAATCTCTCAATCACAGACCACATGTCGACACCCAGCAGCTTGAAGTAGGGCGACGGAAGAAATACATCCCTACATGGAGATGGACGTTAAACGTGGTAGTGCATGAAGACTGTTCCATATATCCAGCCATCTGGGTATCAGATTACAAACCTGGATGTTTTGTTACAAATTTTGTCCGTGTTAATAATAGTAATTATTACGGTTCTTAGCAAACAAGTGACTTAGTCATATTATATATATATATATATCTGATGGGTACATGCATATAGACACCAGAACATTAAAAAAAATGATAACAACAGTTTAAATAATGCAGGCTGTTATTCGTGATGTGTCGGTACATGTATTCGTACCTATTTTTCATCCTGAGCTTGTTGGCGAGTCTGTTGGGCAGTGTAATGATAACAGTGATCAGCTCATCATTCCACGTTGCCTCCATCTCCTCGACGACTTTGCCACCGCACGGCTCCCACAGGATGTCGGCAAGCTTGTGCTGCTTGAGAAACGATTCCAGCAGACTAACGGCAAAGTCCAGCTTCCGACTCGGACTGAAAGTGAAAGACATTCACTAAGTGCTGTATGGGATTCCAAAATATCGTGTGTGTGCATGCACGTGTGTGTTATGATTTGCCTGCAAGCCACAATGGAATTCACATGAAGCAAATGCCATGTTTGATTCTGCAACAAGCACATGACAATATAGCCACAGGGCTTGCATGGCTCATTGGCACTACATGGCTATATTGGATATTGTACCTATTGAGTCCTGTCTGAGTCCATCCCAGTAATCTAGCCACAGACTCTCCGTTGTTAACCAAAAAAAGTTTTTTTTACTATGAGGAAACACTGGTAGCTAACGATACAAAGCGTGTATACACTGTATACATTGTGACCATGACATCGTGTAGCAGGAGGATTAATGAATAACAACAACAACAACCTATTGGCTAGTGTGATAACAGGGATACCAACCCATCCAACCTTACTCCCCAGCAAAATTACTAATAACTACTATGTAAAATACACACCCGCTGGTCTTCTCGATGAATCCACAGAGCACTAGGAATGCATCGTGGGAGCTCGCATGCATGAAGAAGCCATCCAACAACTCGTTGTACAGTTCTCGAACTTTATCATCTTCGACGTCAACGTTCGAGCCGATGTGCTCCAGAAGGAACTCGGCGAACCTGGCATAGATGTTCGTACTGAACTCGACTCGATCGCTGTCGGATATAACACTATCCGAAGTGGACTTAATCCTCCCCTGTTTCGGCAAAAGTGCAGACACTTTCTGCACAACAGGGAGAATCTCGTCGAAGTCAGTACTTCGAGTCAAAGTGTTTATCGTTTCAGTGACTAGCGCTACAACTGTGGTTTCCGATTCCGTGTTCATATTTTCACGTCGTTTTACCGTTTAACTAAACAGATGTCGAATTGATAAGCGTAATTTGTGTATAGACGATTATCATTTTTATCAACCTTAACAACTAAATGAAAATATTGTTGGAAGCATCAGTCGACACTAGCGTCCCCTGTCGGAATTAATAGAAATCATACAGTTCGTATCGTATCGTATAATTATTGCACCACTCTTGTATTTCACAAGGCATCACTTCTGTTCTGGTGAAAGTGCAAAGATATTCTGGGAATGTGAACTTTCATCTCATAATTTCCATTGATTTGTACTTCCAGCATTTAATTCTGTTAATCTTATTCGTTGATCCCTATATTTTAGTAATTTCCTCACGTGGTCGGAAGCAATTTTAATTAACTTGGGATCGTCATATTTCCAGTCTTCAATGGACTTATACCTTTATTTATATCCCCATATTCAAAGCCATTATATAGTCAGATGTAACAAGTCTTCTTTTTCTTCACCACTACACAAGTCACACCCGTCTGTCACTAATGTACTTATTTTTAAAGCAAGCCTATCTATCATGCATGTCTTGCATTTAAACACAAAACAAGAATCCTCATAGGACATTGATGTCATATAATTCTTTAATCCATAATTATTAATATTAATCATTTCAGTTCTGTTTTTGTTGCTCCTTCCCCTTCGTCCCTTTCTATCACGTTTTTTTTAGAATGGCCTCTTTTACCATCTTTTTCCATCTCATTTTTGATAAGGCCCCAATAGATAAGAATGACATATTTAATTTATATTCTTCAATTTTGTCTATGATTTTATTTGCCCAATTTTTTTTTCATATTTTAATTGCTGTAACAACACTCTTCTCATTAAACGTTCTTGCTCTAAATTAATTATGTATTGTAATAACATTAATCTTTTATACTAGATTTTGTCAAGAATTGGCATTATACCTAGCTCAACTCTTAGAGCGATTAGTGGGGTTTTACTATGTGAACATGTGAACAAGTATTCTCCTTAAGCAATCATTTTGAAAGCCTTCCAATAATTGTATACAGTTGCGGTTTTACTTTTCCGCGCAAATTCATTACGGTTTAGCAAATAATCCGTAAATGAGTAAAACCTCCATAAAGTCATAGATATTTCATAGAACGCCATTTTGTATTAGTATTATCACTTCTAAAGTTGTAAAAACGCAATGTATCTCTTATTTTCTTTCTTATATATATAATATAGGGCCACGGTACGGAAAACTAACCTTGGCTTAATTTTCTTTAAAAACTTCGAGTTCCACAGAAGATACCATAAACGTAGAAAATTAAAAAAATTTTTTAAATAAGAGCGTTGTCTTACGACTGGCAACAATCTAACTGGCGGCGAAAAAATCGGCCTCTAGAACCGTATGCCACCAATTTATCTAGCTAAGCCTACTATTTCTGTACCAAGATGCAAATAACACTAAAGAAAGAGGATTACTTTATATTACTTTATTCGAATGACTTTTTATTAGCCAGTCCATAACCCCTCTGTTGACACAACCGCGAGCTATATATAATTAGGTTTAGCAATCTTTTTGGCTGCTAAAGTGTACAGTGCTGCTAAATCTGTATAGTAGCAGCAAAATAATGGATCGTGTAGTTGACTCTAATAATGCCATTACACACAGCTCTAGAACCAAGAACAAGAGGCGTTTGGGTCGATTTTTGTACCTCATTCTAACGAGCGTTAATTAATAATATCAAGAGCTTATGATGCCTAGGTATTATTAGCTCCTGGTGATATGCTTGTGCTATTTAAATACAAGTTTTTATTATATTCTTATGACCTAACACTGTTAGTGTCAGGAACAGGTCGCCTATCTAGAAAAAAAACGTTTGGAATATGTTATCATAGTTTGTTGTATATACTACTCATTTATGCCTGCACATGAAAAAGACAATAAGACTTTATTCTTTCCGATTCGGAGAGGTACAGCGAGTCTCACAGTGCACAAAGTAGAGACTTTTCTAATGGTGGTCAATTGATTTAATTGAGTCATTTTCTTTTAACTTATTAATTATATTTCTTAAATAAGAAGCCAAAACAACTTAGGCTACAGATACCTCACCCGTGGCGTTGGTTTCAGTCACTTTTTTTCTGAATCCTATAGCTTTTCTATTAGGTGTGGAAAAATTCAGGAAGATTGGTCGCCTTTACAATGTTAAAATCATCTATCTCGGGAAAAATGTAGGTACTCCCTATTTTAATTGTATAATGCTAACCAACTAATGTTTCATTTTGCACATACTGGGCACACGCGAATATGAGCGTTAAACCTATTTGTCAATGGCGAAATCCGGGATGAAAGGGCTTCTCATAAATATTAATGTGAAGTAATATTAAAGGAATTGTTTATGTTAAACAACGTTTACTGACAACTATCTTCATATATCAACGATCGATCTGCCAACGTTGTGCATTTGAGATGTCCACGTTTAGCAAGTAGGCCTATACGTTCTGTAGTTGTAGTTCACCGACCAACTAAATCTCGAGAAACGGTTTTTAATTGGATGTGTTCATTTCCAGCGTTTGCCGACGCATGAGAACCGATTCCACACCCATGTATCCACTATGACCGTACAATGCAAATGGCTGTGGGAGTTCGTTTACGTCATCGCACTAATTGAGTTCAAATTCAAACGGACGCTACAACGAGCTGCATTTTTATACTTTAATGGAAATCAGAGCGACCGACTGCGGCACTGAAAACAATAATTTCGCATCTCCCCACTTTGATCAATTGAGCGAAATCTAAAACAGAACGTAATCACCTTATAAATTGATAACTGCGCAAATATGATAGAAAGGCAAAAAATCATATACAAAGAGTGTTCGCTTAGCGAATGAAGTTGGCTGTGACGTAACGTCATCTCATATTACGGATACACGCGTTATAGTTCCACGTGAGGTCTATATATCTGGCATATACGACATGCGCGAAAGCTTACAGGTTTGACCCTGCGTTGAAGTATAGAAACTTTCGGAAAAACAGGAACCTGTTAATTATTTAAGAGAGTCATTTAAAGTCAATGGTTTTCGAAGCTAGTCGTCAGTATCCGTTTTCTTATGTAAATGTGCAAGTCCAACAACATATTCCTTTGGGCGTACGCCATCTCCTGTGCGCGACTATCTATGACGCGTATATCTGGCTCCCATCCCGTCTCACCACAATTTTTCTCTTTCATTTCGTCGCTTTCTCTCTTCCTCCTCTCTCTCTCTTTCTCTGTTTCTGATATTGACAGCGATTCCGAACGGTATACAAGGATATCCGAGTCTCGATGCCAAGAGCTGAGGACGGTGAATTAACGAGGACGCAACCAATAGGAAGTAATGAAAGAGAAGATTCACTCTAACGAATTAAAACGACGACGCACGAACAAAGACCACAGAAAAGGCGGGATGTTTTCAAATATGTTCATTCGTAACTTGCTTGTTGTTTTTTATTAAAAACTTAAAAACGTAGAAACGATATGTATGACAAACAGTATAGTATACCGAAATATATACCCACACATTCGTAGCCGACAACCGTACCGGCCGCCGACGCGCGGGAATCCTCCGCGCGCGTACACACAACCCACGTCTGCAAATGGCGTTTACGCCGATTTCTCACTAGCAAATCTGGCACGACGCGTGACGACTGGCGTCAATGTCTCACGCAATGTGAATCTATCACCCGCTCCTCGACACGTCCTCGACCACGCTGTGCGACCTTCCGGTTGTCCATCTTGTAAATTCATGCATCGTCATCAGATGGGCGTCGGTGTGGTTGTCACAAATAAACCGGAATATATCGTCGTAGAAGCTGAGATATATATATAATATTATATATATATAATATTATATTTATATATATTACATATATATATCCGGTGTGTCGGCAGGCAGGGAAGTCCTCCTATCCGGTAATGGGCGACGGTGCTCACTCACACGCAGTGGTGCTAATTTGCGAAGATATTTAGCCGTTAAGCGGGAATGTCAATTACTTCAGCTTAATTCGTTTCATGCGAATACACTTATACTATACAATACAGGTCAGAGGCCAACTGCGCCCGCGGGATTCCGTACACACACCGACATGCCAATAGTATATAGATGGCAGCCGCGGCGCGAACTATGACATCATAACTCAGTTTCAAGGGTCTGACCATTCTCAGCACGCAGTGAAAACAGTTTCGAAACCAAAATTTCGAATTCATGCTACATTCCGAAAATTTCGAATGGACATCATATATAATTGCTGACCCGTACTGCACAAATAGCCTTGTTTATATCACTGCTATAGAATAACGTAGAGAAACCGGCTGGTGTTGACTATAGCTACTTGTGTGATTAGCTACCGCGGTGTCCACAAAACGTCAAGTCTATATAGAATAGGATTATATGTACACACGCGGTGTTTACAACCTGTATAGATGAAGTCGTTCGGTACCTCGCTAAAGCAACCAGTGTTTGCACATGTTGCATTACAGCACGCTCCGGAGTTTTCTCTCACGCACACACACGCACTGAATGCCATCATTGGGATGAATGGGATCCAGTCAAAAGTTAGGGACGACGCGCTCATCCCTTTGGTTCGCCAACGTTCGGGTGTAATTTTCATTCGTACAAAAGTAAAAGAATAATATTTTCTAGGATTTCTTAGATACAAATACACGATAAAAGAATACTAAATCACACGTTCTATATATCACCTATAATATACGCGTATGTACCTTAGACCCAGGTTACATATCTCTTCTCGTGCGCTTAACCGTTGCTGCTGATCATCAGGTATCAGTACTTGTGATGCAGTCACACGTAAATAATGCTACACGCAAACGGATCGTCGTTATCAGATACGCGTGGTGTGTGTGTGTGTGTGTGTGTGTGTGTGTGTGTGTGTGTGTGTGTGTGTGTGTGTGTGTGTGTGTGTGTGTGTGTGTGTGTGTGTGTGTTAAGTGCTAATGCCTGATACACGCACAAAAGAAAGTACAGATTTTATTGCGCAAATTGTTGCAAGTCGTTGTCAGTTATATTGGCTGAAAATCACTTGTTTGACAATACCACCTGCTTACGACGTCATA